AAAAAAAAAGGAAGTCAACCACATTGACTTTTAATCTCGTAAGTATGTTACTTGTAAAATATTTCATCTTCAAAACTTAAGGAAAATCAAAGTATTCTTATGTAGAAGTTCTCGGGGGGTGGGTACTAGAGATTGAACCCAGGGGTGCTCTATCACTGAACTACAGCCCCAACTCCCACCTCTTTTTATTTTTGATTTTCAGACAGGGTCTCATGAAGTTCTCCAGGCTGGCCTCAAACTTGCCATCCTCCTGCCTCAGCTTCCCGAGTTATGGGGATTATAGGCATGCACAACCATGCCCAGTTATATAAAACTTCTTTAAAAGTGGAAATTTTGTAGACATTAAACCTAGACAGTAGAAGTAGTGTTTCAAAGAAGTGTAATTTAAAATTGTCATGATTGTCAAAATCCAACATGCAGAATAATAATTTGGGGAATGCTGAGTTTGGATAACTTATATAAACAGAATCCCTTAAGTACTTGTAAAATTTCTTATTTGTGGGCTTCATCTTAGAATCTTCTCTTTTTCTATTTTTTGGGAGGAGGGGGCACAGAGTGCTTAACTACTGAGCCACACTCCCAGCTCTTTTTTAAAAATATGTTATTTAGAAACAGGGTCTTTCTATTGTTTAGGGAAGAATCTTCAATTTTAACAGGCCCCTCAGGTGATTTTAATGCAAATAAAATACAGACCACAATTTGAGAAATACTGATTCAGATAATTTATACAAAAATTTTGATGATCTACTACCAAAAATTATTCCTGCAGATGTTCTTTCCATTCATCTCATCTTACCTACCCTTTTCAGAATAAATGAATCAAACAATAAATTGATACTGATCATCTATGACACTTTCTKTAGCACTACAACTTTTTCAATAATTTCATCTTACAAAGTATGTGTCATACACAAGAAAAATAGTTAAYCATGTGATTTTTTATTATAAAATCAAAAGGTGGGGACAAACAAAAAAACACAAGTAAATTCTATAAAATCTCTAATTGTTGACATTTATGCATATGCATATGCAGCAGGAAATTACCTGATAGAGTTATAAATGGCGAGTGGAGTTTGATCATTTTCTTTGGCTATTCTCATCATATCTAACACTGCCATCCCAAGACATTCTTCCTGTGTTTCATGAGTCACAGGCACTTTTATCCATCCATGCACAAAATCATGCCGCCACTAAAAGAAACAAAAATATCTAAGGAAATATCTCAGCATAAATTTTAATCTACTATCATATTTTAACAATAACATAATTTCCAGAAAATATGTTTTCAAAAGGCATAAGTCAAAAAACAGCATTAGAAACATAAACTATAGCCCATGTATTCATATAATCCTATCTTCTCAGATCCTTRTTAGAATTCTGTAGTAATCATGAAATAATTTGTCCAAAATGGTCCTATTTCAAAGATATTTGGACAATGAAAGCTTATTGTTGTCTTCACTGGAATATAAGTATTTATTTTAAGRCTATGCAAGAAAAATGCTCACCATTGGAAATGTCTCATTTTCCTAATTCTTTTTTTTTTTTTGATACCAGGGACACTATACATCCCCAGCCCTACTTTGTATTTTATTTAGAGACATGGTCTCACTGAGTTGCTTAGCACTTTGCTTTTGCTAAAGCTGGCTTTGAACTCATGATTCTCCTGCCTCAGCCTCCTGAGCCACTGGGATTACAGGCATGTGCCAACGTGCCCAGCCTAATTCATTTCCATCTTGTAGATCAGAAAGCACTAGAATTCTTCCTAGCTTTGTTGAAATGGATCCATACTAATAAATTGATGACCATACAGTTTTATTTAACAAAAGAAATGCAAACATGATTTTTTTCTGTAACGATCATATATTAAAATCAATTTTCAATGATAAAAAGGCATAGGTCAACTCCTTCCTTGATTTAATTTTGCCATAAAATTTTAGTAAAAAAAAGAATTTGCAAATGAAAACCAATTTAAATTGGGTTTGCAGCTATATAACACACATGCTGTCAAACTATTTCACTGCATGTGTTTTCAAACTGTATCTMCTACATAAAAATTACCTAAATTAAAATAGTAACCAATTATGTCCTGAATTCCATTTAAGTTAAAAGCATTATAATAGAGATTGTGTTGCATACAAAGAAACACATAATACAGGCTTAGCCATCAAAAGGACTAAAATGTAATTTAGAAGCTAAACATGAAAACAATAATTTTAATGCCAGATACTTAAGAAGTGCCACAAAATTGCTGATTGAGGATATTTGAGAAAGGTGAAATTGTATCCACTTAGGGTAAACAGGAAAGGTTTCATGGTTGATTTAAAATGTTATGTAAACTTAAATGATGAAGAAATTTTTGATGAGTAAAAAATCAGTAAGAAAATAGAAAAAACGACAAAAACAAAGCAAAAGACATGTACAGAGATTCAAACCAGTCTGGTTGGGAGTAGAATATAGGTAATSTTGAATGAATTGACTCTATAAACAATAAAGATCTGGTTTTTAAAGCATCAGTTTCACCATATCTCTTTCAGTGCTAGAACAGTAGCAGTCACAAATGTGCTTTAAGAAAATTAAATGTGCTCAGAGAAGTTCTAAGAGGCTGTCGTATGGCTCAGATAGAAGATAATAAGTATATGAGGGGCTGGGGATGTGGCTCWAGCGGTAGYGCGCTCGCCTGGCATGCGTGCGGCCTGGGTTCGATCCTCAGCACCACATACAAAACAAAGATGTTGTGTCCGCCGAGAACTAAAAAAAATAAATATTAAAAAATTCTCTCTCTCTCTCCTCTCTCACTCTCTCTTTAAAAAAAAATAAGYATATGATATAGAAAACAGAAGATATTAAAATTATCTCACAACTAGATAGAGTCTCCAAACAAAAACTAAATAAAGAAGCTATAGAACTAAAAATATAATTAATAATTTAGACTTAACAGACATATATAGAATCTTTCATTCATCAACAAATGAATACACTTTCTTCTCAGCAGCATACAGATCCTTCTCTAAAATCAACCATAGCTTAGGCCACAAAGCAACTCTTAGCAAATACAAAAAAGTAAAGATAATATCGTGAATTCTATCAGATTATAATGAAATCAAATTAGAAATCAACAATAGAATAAAAAATACAAGCTACTCTAACAAATGGAGACTCAATAATATGCTATTGAATGACAAATTGATAGCAGAAGAAATCAGGGATGAAATTTAAAAAAATACTTAAGAGGTAAATGAGAATTGCAATACAATATATCAAAATCTCTGGGACACTATGAAGGCAGTGCTAAGAGAAAAGTTCATTACATTAAGCCCATTCATTAAAAGAATAGAAAGACAACAAATAAATAACATAATATCACATCTCAAAGCTCCAGAAAAAAAACAACAAATCAACACCAAAAGCAGTAGGAGACAGGAAATAAAAACTAAATCAGAGCTGACATCAATGAAACCGAAACAAAAAAAAAATCAACAAAACAAAAAGTTGGTTCTTTGAAAAAGTTAATCAAATTAACAAATCCTTTGCCAAGCTAACAAAGAGAAAGAGAGAGAAAACTCAAAAGCCTAAAATTTGTAATGAAAARGGAAATATCAAAATGGACATCACTGAAAGACAGATGATACTCAAATTATTTTGAAAATTTATACTCAAATAAAATAGAAATTCTTGAAGACATCAACAAATTTTTTGAGACATATGACCTACGTAAATAGAATCAGGAGGACACAGGAAATTTAAACAGATAGATCTCAAGAAATGAAATTGAAGATGCAATCAAAAGCCTAACAACAAAGAAAAGCCCAAGACTAGACATATTCTCATCCAACTTCTACAAGACATTCAAAGAAGAACTAACACCATTTCTCCTCAAATTATTCCATGAAATAGAAAAGGAAGGAAACCCTCCAAACTCATTCTATTAAGCTAGTATCACTCAGATACCAAAACTAGAAAAAGACACATCAAAGATAGGAAATTTCAGACCAATACCCTTGATGAACATAGATGCAAAAATTCTTAWCAAAATACTTGAAAATCACATACAAAACCATGTTTAAAAGATATGCATTCTACTGTCATATATAATTTTTTTTTWAAAAAAAAGATAGTGCACCATGATCAAGTGGGGTTCAACCCAGGGATGTAAGGTTGGTTAAACATATGAAAATCAATAAATGCATCACATCAATACACTTACAACAGGAATCATATGATCATCTCAATAGATGCAGAAAAAAGCATTTGACAAAATAGAGCATCCACTCACCTTTAAAATACTAGAAAAACTAGGGGAAATATGAACATACCTCAACACTGTAAAGTCTATATATGCTAAATCCAAGCCAACATCATTCTAAATGGAGAAAAACTGAAACCATTCCCTCTAAAAACTGGAACAAGACAGGGATGCCCTCTTTCACCACTTCTATTCAACGTAGTCCTAGAAACTCTAGCCAGATCAATTAGATACAAATAGGAAAAGAACAACTCAAACTATCCCTACAATGGTACAGAACAGAAGACACAGAGACAAACCCACATAAATACAATTATCTCAGACTAGACAAAGGCACCATAAACATACATTGAAGAAAAGATAGCTTCTTCAACAAATGGTGCTAGGAAAATTAGAAATCCATATATGAAGAAAAATGAAATCCTCTTACCTACACAAAACTCAACTGAAGTGGATCCAGAATATAGGCATTAGATCAGAGACCCCACACCTACTAGAAAAAAAAGTAGTCCCAAACCTCCATTATGTTGGCTTAGGAACCTACTTCCTCAACCAGATTACTAAAGCATGAGAAGTGAAATCAAACATCAATAAATGGAATAGCAATCCCACTAAAAGCTTCTTCACAACAAAGGAAACAATCAAGACTATGAACAGAAAGCCTACAGAATGGGGGAATATCTTTGCCACCTGCACCTCAGACAGAGTACTGATCTCTAGGATATGTGAAGAACTCAAAAAACTTAACACATACAAAAAATAATAATAACCCAGTCAATAAATAGGCAAAAGAACTGAACAGACACTTTACAGAAGAAGAAAAAATGTTCAACATCTCTAGCAATTAGAGAAATGCAAATTAAAACTACGCTGAGATTCCATCTCACACTATTCAGAATGGCAATTACTAAGAATACAAGTAATAATGACTGTTGGCAAAGACGTGGGGGAAAGGGTTCACTCATACATTAGTGGTGGGACGGCAAACTAGTGCAACCACTCTGGAAAGCAGTATGGAGATTCCTCAGAAAACTTGGAATGGAACCACCATTTAACCCAGTTATCCCACTCCTTGGCTTATATCCAAAGAACTTAAAATTAGCAGACTACAGTGATACAGCTACATCAATGTTCATAGCAGCTCAATTCAAAATATCAAGCTTTAGAACCAACCTGGTTACCCTTCAACAGATGAATGGATAAAGAAAATGTGATATATGTATACACAATGGACTATTACTCAATCATAAAGAAGAACAAAATTATGGAATTTTCCAGTAAGTGGAGAATATCATGCTAAGTGAAATAAGCAAGTCTCAGAAAACCAAAGGTCAAATGTTCTCTCTAATATGTGGATACTAACCCATGATAAATGAGGGTAAGGAGAGGAAGTTTAGATATTCGTTGGATTAGATAAAGGAGAATGAAAGGAAGGGAGAGGAGATGGGAATAGTAAAGACACTAGAATGAATCAGACATAATTTTCTTAAGCTCATAAATACATGAACAGTATAACTTCACATCATGTTCAACTACAAGAATGAAATCAAAACTGTAATGGGTTGTATCCCATATGTCAAAATACACCCTACTGTCATATTTATCTAAAAACAACAAACTAAAAAAATAAAACTTACAAAATATAAAAATAAATAAATAAATAAATAAAGACTGGATGGAACCTAAAAAAAAAAAAAATACAGGTACAAATAAATGTTGACAAAGATGTAGGGAAATAGATACTCTCATACATTCCTGTTGGGACTGCAAACTTGTGCAACCACTCTGGAAAGCAGTATGGAAATTCCTTAGTAAACTTGGAATGAAACCACCATTTGACCCAGCTAACCCAATCCTTGGCTTATACCCAAAGGACTTCAAATCAGCATACTAAAGTAACACAGCCCATCACTGTTTATAGTAGCTCAATTCACAACAGCTAAGCTAAAGAACTAAACTATATGCCCTTCAACAAATGAATGGATAAACAAAATGTGGTATACATAAACAATGGAATATTACTCAGCCATAAAAAATAATGAAATTATGGCACTGGACATCAATGGATGGAACTGCAGACTGTTATGTTAAGTGACATAAGCCAATCCCCAAAAAAGAAAGGCTGAATGTTCTCCTTGATATGCAGAAGCTCACTAATAGGCTAAGATGGAGAGGGGAGAGGAGTGGAGGGAAGTTTACTGGATTGGACAGGGGGAAATGGGGGAAAGGGAGGGGAAATGGAAATGGGAAACACATTAGAATGAATTGGACATAACTTTCCTATGTTCATATATGAATACACAACCAGTATAACTCCACATCATGTACAACCACAAAAATGGGAAGTTATACTCCATGTATGTATGATATTTCAAAATATATTCTACTGTCATATAAAAGTAAAAAGAAGAAAAAATTTTAAAGTTTTATAGAAACTTTTTAAGAACTTAGAAGATAAATAATTTGATTAAAAATGATAAATATACATTTTAAAGTGGTATTTGACTTTCTATTAATAAAATATAAATGATATTTCACTAAACAAAAATAAACTACATTTTTTAAAAAGTACAAACCAAAAAATAATCATTATTAACTGAACCAAAGACCTAAATGTTAGTAATACAAAACTTATTTAATAAGTTAGATTTCTCTCCGCTCAATTTTAAACACTTATTTCCTCACACGTTTGAAAATGGGCAAGTTATACTGTTTAAATAGGATGATCAATAACTAGATAGATTATTTCTAATAGCATGCTTTTTGTTCTATATGGCATACAAAACTAGCASATAATAAGTTCTGCTTATCAGAAATTCTATTGAACTCATGATCAAAAGACAGTAAATATGTAAAAAATCAGTGAGGGCAAATATTGTATATAATATTTGTATACAAGTATTTCTTAAGTCCTGGATTTCAGTTCTGTTTGTAATTTTTTTTGAGGAGCTACTATGCTGTTTTCCAAAGAGGCTGCACCATTTATCATTTCTATAAGCAGTGTATAAGTGTTCCAATTTCTCCACATCCTTAGCAATACTTAGTTTTTTGATAATAACTGTCCTTATATGTGTGCAATGGTATCTCACTGTGATTTGAATTTTCATTTCTCTAGTGGTTACTGCTGCTATGGATCTTTTCATATGTTTGTTGGCCATATGTATATTTTTTTTGGAGAAATGTCTATCTGTGTGCACATGAATGCAGCCGGACCTTTCCCTAACAGCATAAACAAAAATTAACTCAAAATTGATTGAAGGCTTAAATGGAAGAGTTAAAATATAAAACTCTTAGAAGAAAACATGGAGTAAAGGCTCATGCACTGGATTTGGCAATGATTTCTTGGGTATGACACCAAAAGTATAAGCAACAAAACAAAAAATAAAAATTGGAATACATCAAAATATAAAAGTTTTGTCCATCAAAAACAACCAACAGAGTGAAAGGGCAACATATGTAATAGGAAAATATATGTAAAAACATACACCTGATAAGGGATTAATGTCCAGAATACAGAAAGAACTCCTACAATTCAACAAGAAAAACAAACAACATGAACAAAAAATGGGCAAAGGACTTGCATAGACATTACTCCAAAAAAGGATACAAAAATGATGAACACACATATGAAAAGATACTTAAAACATCACTAGCCACGAGAGAAATGCAAATAAAAACCTTAATAAGAAACCATTTCATATCCATCAGGACAGCTATTATCAGAAAAACAAAGTATTGTCAAATATGTAGAAAAATTGCAACACTTGTACACTGCATGTAGGAATGAAAAATGGTGCAGCCRCATTGAAAAACAGTATAGTAGCTCTCCAAAAAATTGCAAACAAAATTACCATATGATCCAGGAATTCAAATTGTCGATATACGTACAAAAAAAWTTGAAMGCAGGGACTCAAATATATAATGAATGAATACATAAAATATAGTATAAGACATACAATGGAATAATATTATTCAGCTCTAAAAGGAAGGAAATTCTCACACTTGCTACATTGCTTTTTCTTAGCATTTTATCACTCAAGTCTGGCCCCAAATCCTAAATTAGCTGGTTTCTGACCAAACAGGGATGAACCTTTAAGACATTATGCTAAGTAAAATAAGCCAGCCACAAAAAAAAAGACAAAAGATGTTATAATTCCATTTGTATGAGGTATTTAAGACAGGCAAATATGTACAGATAGAAAGTAGAATGGTGATTGACAAGGCCCAGGAAAGGAAGAAATGGAGAATTACTTTTTAATGGGTATGAAGCTTTAGTTTGGAAAGATGAAAAGTGTTCTAGAGATGGAGGGTTGGTGATCTTTGTAAAATAATGTGAATATACTTAATTAATGTGAATGAACTATACACTTAATAATGGTTAAAATGGTCAATTTTTATGTATTTTTACCATAATAACAACAAATTGGTTGACCCTGTCTCTAAATAAAAATACAAAAAGGGCTGTGGCTGTGACTCAGTGGTCAAGTGCCCCTGAGTTCAATCCCTGGTAACCAAAAACAAAAACAAAGACCAAATTGGTTGACCTCACACCCCAATAAGGTAAATATTTTCTGATTTATTGCTCATAAACTTAACAAGTCTTACTCGGGCTTTTTGGAAATGTGAGGCATGAGGACCTATAGGGTTATTTCCTATGACATTGGCAAATTTTATTTAGAACTCCTTAATTTAATAATACCTTATGAATATCTTTACCCAAGAGCACTAACTGTCTTTTCTTTCTTTGGTTTCTATTCATTTGACTCCAACAACACATGAAAACAAAAGTTATTTAATAATAAAATATTTCAATTAAGATGAAAGAGAAGAAAGTATTATGAAACATTCAAACACAATACAAAAATTTAGTATAACAGTATTAGTGAACAAATGGCTAAAGCACAGCTCTTAGAATATCAATATCCAGTAACATTCCTATGAGGACTTAAAATATCAATATCTAGTAACCTTCCTATGAGGACCTATTCAAGCTATCAAAATAGATCATTTTTTGTATTGCTTTCTTTACTTTTCAATACCCACTGTTTAAGTCCAAAATTAACCAGAAAAAAGAAAACACTCAAGAAATTGTACTGTCTAGGCCACATAGGTCCATATGACTCATAGTGTAAAACTCAGTGTACACTTTGTGAAATCCTTAAAATGATCTAAAGCCCTAAAAGAAAATTTAAAAAGATCAATTCAACAAATCCATTTAAAATAAATTCTATTATTCATAAATCATGAGATTAAAACTTACTGTTAAAAAGACTATCTCTACACCCGCCATGCAACACAGAATTCAATTTTCCCAGATGAAGATTCCCCTGATTAAGATATATACTATATGAAAATATATTTATCACTTACTGCACATACAAATAAGATAATATAATCATACCTGAGCAAAAAGATAAGACATGACGAAGTCATCAAGAAGAGGAGCTTCCGCACCTCGAGATATCCCATGCCGATAAGTTCTGTTGCTGCCACTGCAATACCAGTGAGGAAAGTAAAATCTAAAAGACAGTTAAAACAGTCCATTAGCCTCTAAAGAGATCAAAATATAAACATTTTATATAAAGAACCACTTTCAGCACAATTAAAGGTGTCTTTTCTTATCAGAAAACCTATAGATAAGACCTTGATAATAATGTAGACAGAAAATACAAGAAACACAAGGGTAAAATCAATATATTGCTTACTTTGATGCAATATAGAATGTAGAATATAGAAATAATCATAGGTAAGAGAATTGTAGAAATAAAATGTTAAAAATGCTTAATTCCTTGATGCAATATAGAATGTAGAATATAGAAATAATCATAGTAACAGAATTGTAGAAATAAAATGTTAAAAATGCTTAATTCATTAACATCAGTAAAGGAATCAAAATGTTAAATTAGGGTGAAAAAATAATTGTTTCTTCTTTTAGAGAAATGGAAATTAAAACTATCCTTCAAATAATAAACAAGTACTCTCTATTGATTCAGTTGATAGTATTCAATTTAATGTTCTGTAAAATATCCACAGAGTTGTATCAACATCACTGTAATGTATTTTGCTGAAGATTTTTATAACTATATTTATAAAGTATACTGATCTGTATCTTTCTTTTCTTCTATGTATCTTTGAATTAGTTACCATAGAATACAGCTGGAAGGTATTCACACATTTTCTACTTCGTGTGAATAACTGGTAATAATTCTTTAAATGTTTGATAGAATTAACCAGTTAAACCATTTTGGCCTGAACTTTTCTTCATGGGGAGTTTTCTTGAGTTATGAGTTCATTCTCTTTACTAGTTATAGATCTACTTCGACTTTCTATTACTTCTTTTGTTAGTTACTATAATTTTAATCTTTCTAGGCATTTATGCATTTCATCTTGGTTGCCRAATTTGTTAGCAGAAAATTGTTTCTGATAATCCTTTTTATTTCTATAGTCATAATGATGTTCCCTTTCCCATTCCCAATTTTAATAATTTTTTTCTCTCATTTTCAGTCTAGTCAAAAGCAGGTCAAGTTCGTTGATCTTTTCAAAGAACTTTCTCTATTGTATTTCTAAATTTCATTTATTTCTACTCTGACCTTTAATATTTCCTTCCTTCTACTTGCTTTAATTTACTGTTCTCTTTCTATATTTTCTTTTCTCTTTTATTTTTTTTAATACCAGAGATTGAACCCAAGAGCACTTAGCCACTGAGTTATATGTCCAACCCACTCCTTTTTAAATATTTTATTTAGAGAAAGGGACTCTAAGTCATGTGGAATCTAAGTTACTAATCCTCCTGCCTCCACTTCTGGAGCCACTAGGATTACAGGCATGTGCCACCATGCCTAGCTTCTTAATGGGAAAGTTACAGATTTGGAATGTTTTCATTTTTAACATAGGTGCTTATAAATAAAAACCCCCCTTCTAAATACCACTTTAGTTGCATAGGGCAAATCTGACAATTTGGGTTTTCATTTTCAGTCACATCAAAGTATTTTCTGTTTTTCCCTCCTTTGACTCTTTGGCTATTTAGAAGTGTGTTGGTAATAACCCTATGTTTGCAAATTTTCCAGTTTTCCTTCTGTTACTAATTTTTAATGTAATTCCACTGTGGTAAGAGAACATACATAGTATGGTTTCATCTTTCTTGTTTTTATTGAGACTTGTTTTACAGCTTAACATATGGTCTATACTGGAGAATGGTCAATGTGTACTTTAAAATAAGGTATATCATGTGTTGTTGAATGGAATGTTCTATATAAGTCTGTGTATCTACCCATTTTATAGTGTTGTTCAAGTCTTTAATTTCCTGGATTATATTTAATATAATTGTCCCCTCTGTTACTGAAAGTGGGATACTGAAGTCTCCAAATATTGTTGTTCAATTGTCCATTTTTTCCTCATTCTCTTTGTTTTTGATTCATATATTGTGGGGCACTACTGTTACAATTCATTTTTGTCTGCAATTGTTATGTCTTCCTAATGAATTGGCCCACATCCTTATAAAATGGTTCCTTTTATGTCTAGCAATGATTTTTGTCTGAAAGTTTATTTTGTCTGATATTATAGTATAATTATTATAGGTGTCTTTTGTTCACTGTATACCTAGTAAATCTTTTTTATTACTTGTTTATCACTTTTTGTCATATCACAATAGGTATCTTTTAACTGTGATTGCAATATTGCAATCTTGCTGCCTCAGCCTTGTAAGCAGCTGCAATTACAAGTATGCACTATCACACCAGGTTTTACTGTATTTTCTCTACCCATTCATCTGTTGATGGGCACCTACACTGATTCCATACCTTGGATTTTAAGCACAGTGCTACAATAAACATGGAACTGCAAGTTCTTTTATTTTCTTTTTAAAATTTTATTATTTCTAGTTAAATACAATACCAGGATACACTCTGACATTATCGCAAAGGTATAGAACTCAACCCACTCCAATTCAACACCAGCACTTTCCCCCCACACCGGTGCCTGCTCCCCTTCGCTCCATTTTGTTTTGTTTTGTTTTCTTTTGTTTAATTAGTGTCCTATAAGTACCCATAATGCCAGGACCCATTATGCCACATCCATGCATGCACATACAAAAGTTTAGTGAGATTCATTCATTGGTCTACTCTTTTCCTATTCCTTCTTCCTCCTGCTCAATACCCTTCATCTATTCCACTAATTTTTCCTGTTTTGATGAAATTCCCTCATCCCCTTCTTTTTTCCTTTCCATTTTTTTATTTCCCCTTCTTATATTATGGATTAGCTTCCATATCAGAGAAAACATTCATCAATTGATTTTTTTTTGGATTGTCTTATTTCACTCTCTAGTTCACTCTCTTATTTCAGTCTCCAATTCCATTCATTTACCAGAAAATACCTAATTTCATTCTCTTTTATGGTTGAGTACTATTTAACTTTGTATGTATACCATATTTTCTTCATCCATTCATCTGTTGATTCCATAGCTTGGCTATCGTGAGTTGAGCTAATATAAACATGGATGTGGCTGCATCACTTTACTATGCTGATTTAAAATATTTTTAATATATTCCAAGGAGGGAATAGTTGGGTCATATGATGGTTCCATTCCTAGTTTTTTGAGGAATCTCCATAATGTTTTCCAGATTAATTTGTAGTCCCACCAACAACATATGATTGTTTCTTGATAATTGCCATTCTRACTAGAATGAGATGAAATCTCAATGTAGTTTTGATTTGCATTTCCCTAATTGCTAGAGATGCTAAATATTTTTTCATATATTTGTTGAACATTTGTATTTCTTCTTTTGAAAAGTGTCTGTTTAGTTTTTTGCCCATTTATTGACTGGGTTTTTTCTCTTTTTTTGGCGTGAAGTTTTTTGAGTTCTTTGGATATTAATATCTTATCTGAGGAAGAGGTGGCAAAGATCTCCACCCATTCCATAGGCTCTCTCTTTATAGTCTTACTTATTTCCTTTGCTGTTAAGAAGCTTTTTAATTTGGTGCCACACCATGTATTGATTTTTATTTTATTTCTTGTGTTCTAGGAGTCTTGTTAAGGAAGTTGGTTCCWGTGCTGACATGTTGGAGAGTTGGGCCTACATTTTCTTCTAGCAATTGCAGGATCTCTGGTCTAATTCCCAGGTCTTTCAGTCAGCTTTGGTACAGGGTAAGAGACGGGTTAAATTTCATTCCATTACATATGGATTTCTAGTTTTTCCAGCACCATTTGTTTAAAAAACTGTCTTTTTTCCACTGTATGTTTTTGGCACCTTCATCTAATATCAGATAACTGTATTTATGTGATTTTTATCTCTGTGCTTTCTATTCTATTCCATTGTTTTTTGTGCCTGTTCTGTTATCATGCTGGTTCTGTTACAATAGATCTGTAGTATAATTTGAGGTCTGATATTGCATCACTTTTCTCATTAAGGATTACTTTAGCTATTCTGAGTCTCTTATTTTTCCAAATGAATTTCCTAAATGCTTTTTCTAGTTCTGAGAAGAATGTCATTAGAATTTTGATGGGGATTGCATTGAATCTGTATAGCACTTTTGGTAGTACGGCAATTTTGACAGTATTAATTCTGTCTATCCAAGAACACATGGTAGGTCTTTCTAAATTCTAATGTGTCTTGAATTTCTTTATTTAGTGTTCTGTAGTTTTAATTTTAAAGTCTTTCACCTCTTGTTAGTTTGATTCCCAAGTATTTTATTTTATTTTTTGATGCTATTGTTAATGGGATAGTTTTCCTAATTTCTATTTCAGCAGATTCATCATTTGAGTATAGGAAAAGGAATGATTTATGGGTGTTGACTTTATATCCTGCTACTTTGCTGAATTTATTTATGAGCTCTAGAAGTCTTCTGGTGGAGTTTTTTTTTATCTTCTAAATATAGAATCATGTCATCAGCAAAGAGATAAGCTCTTGAGCTCTTCTTTTCTTATTTGTATCCCTTTAATTTCCTTTTCAATTGCTCTGACCAGAGTTTTAAGGTAATGTTGAATAGGAATAGTGAAAGTGGGTGTCCTTCTCTTGTTTCTATTTGTAGAGGAAATGCTTTAGTTTTTCTCCATTCAGTATAAAGTTGGCCTTAGGTTTGTCATACACAACCTTTAAGTTCCTTCTATCCCTAGTTTTTCAAGTGTTTTTAAACATGAATGGGTGCTGTGCTTTTTCATATGCTTTTTCTCCATCTATTAAGATAATTATGTGATTCTTGACCTTGACTCTATTTACATACTTMCATAAATTACATTTATSATTTCCATATGTTAAGCCAACCTTACATCCCTAGGATGAAACCATTTGATCATGGTGCACTATCTTTTTAACATATTTTTATATAAAGTTTGCCTATATGTTATTACAAATTTTTGCATTTATGTTCATCAAGAATATTGGCCTGAAGTTTTCCTTCCTTGATATGTCTCTGCTTTCGGTATCAGCATGATACTGGCTTCACAGATTGAGTTCGACAGTGTTCCCTCCTTTTCTAATTCATGAAATAATTTGAGAAAAATCGGTATTAGTTCTTTAAAGGT